TTTCTTCTGGATAAAGGTTGGTTGCTGTTGGTTATCTTACCACTTCTCAGGTTCATAAAACAGCAAACTTCTTAGGTTCCTACGTTTCTGGGATGGCTATGTCTCGACAATCCTTAATTCTGATATCCAACTATTGGTCCCACCGGGTGTGCCAATTTGTTTCCAGTGATTTCTGGTAAACAACCGCTAGTCTTCCAAACTATCGAATAATCTTTATTAACGCTACTCAATCTCTTTGGTAACTCACAGGATCGACTAGATTGATCCTAGGACTCCTTGGATATTAAGGTTACTCTCACAATCGAACAATTATTCATGGGTGCCATTGTACAAATGTTTGGTTTATTTCGATCTCTCTCTCTAAGAGTTTAAAATATGGTCAAAATGTATGTGAAAACTAAGTTATACGAATGATTGCTAATTGTAATGCTGATTGAAAAGACATATAAAACTGTATGGAAAATGAAGTAACTGGTTTCGACCCATAAAACATTTAACATAAAAGGTTTCTGGAATGTGGAAGTTTAAAACGTGAAGAAAGCGTTTAATGCAAGAAATCTAGAAATGACTTTAAGTGAAAGTACATGTTTGAAGAGTAATACTTGAAAATAAAGGTATTGAGAGCGTAAAAGTTCTCTGAAATATAGAGTGCTCGAAATATAAAGAAAGCAGTAAAATGTAAAACTTTGAAGAAAAGACTTTGAAATGAAAAGACAGTAGATAAAGAAACTTGCAAATGTTATTCGACAGAAAGAAAAAGAAGGAAAGTGCTGGAAATAGTAAAAAGGCTTTTATTAAATTAGAAATACATGGTGCTATCATACATACATCTCTCTTGCATTCGTTTCCCTTGCCATGTGGTAGTTTGAATGTTATTGAGTATTTTGTATAACAGATATGACACACTGAAATCCTAACACTAAGACTTCTATTTATACTAATTCGACCCTAACGGTCTCGCTACAAGATCATGCCACGTTTCGAACATGCAAGACAATGCTTCTTTCATCTTTCCACGTGTCCTCAAATGCTCCAACACATAACTTTCAAACTTTGAAAGTCCCGCTTTCATTTAAATTTTGAATGCTTTGGTGTTTCTCTGTTTCGAACGCTCTTCTCAGACCTAGCTTCGCTGCTGTTTCGAGACCCCTTTGGATACGCTCCCATAATCACCGTTCGAAGCTTCAAGCTTTGACACACTCATTCGAAACACTGCTTCTGCAATTTCGAAGCGTGGTGTTTTAATTCCATTTCGATCAGAACTTCTAGCTCTTTTGTATTCTAAATAACATTATCAAAATCTTCAGCCAACAAATTTGGTAAACAACCGCTAGTCTTCCAAACTATCGAATAATCTTTATTAACGCTACTCAATCTCTTTGGTAACTCACAGGATCGACTAGATTGATCCTAGGACTCCTTGGATATTAAGGTTACTCTCACAATCGAACAATTATTCATGGGTGCCATTGTACAAATGTTTGGTTTATTTCGATCTCTCTCTCTAAGAGTTTAAAATATGGTCAAAATGTATGTAAAAACTAAGTTATACGAATGATTGCTAATTGTAATGCTGATTGAAAAGACATATAAAACTGTATGGAAAATGAAGTAACTGGTTTCTACCCATAAAACATTTAACATAAAAGGTTTCTGGAATGTGGAAGTTTAAAACGTGAAGAAAGCGTTTAATGCAAGAAATCTAGAAATGACTTTAAGTGAAAGTACATGTTTGAAGAGTAATACTTGAAAATAAAGGTATTGAGAGCGTAAAAGTTCTCTGAAATATAGAGTGCTCGAAATATAAAGAAAGCAGTAAAATGTAAAACTTTGAAGAAAAGACTTTGAAATGAAAAGACAGTAGATAAAGAAACTTGCAAATGTTATTCGACAGAAAGAAAAAGAAGGAAAGTGCTGGAAATAGTAAAAAGGCTTTTATTAAATTAGAAATACATGGTGCTATCATACATACATCTCTCTTGCATTCGTTTCCCTTGCCATGTGGTAGTTTGAATGTTATTGAGTATTTTGTATAACAGATATGACACACTGAAATCCTAACACTAAGACTTCTATTTATACTAATTCGACCCTAACGGTCTCGCTACAAGATCATGCCACGTTTCGAACATGCAAGACAATGCTTCTTTCATCTTTCCACGTGTCCTCAAATGCTCCAACACATAACTTTCAAACTTTGAAAGTCCCGCTTTCATTTAAATTTTGAATGCTTTGGTGTTTCTCTGTTTCGAACGCTCTTCTCAGACCTAGCTTCGCTGCTGTTTCGAGACCCCTTTGGATACGCTCCCATAATCACCGTTCGAAGCTTCAAGCTTTGACACACTCATTCGAAACACTGCTTCTGCAATTTCGAAGCGTGGTGTTTTAATTCCATTTCGATCAGAACTTCTAGCTCTTTTGTATTCTAAATAACATTATCAAAATCTTCAGCCAACACCTGGTTGATTGAAAACCCGAAAAGGGCGATTCAAGAAAAAGTTAGGGATTTAAAGCGAATGACTACGGTATGTGTTTCATTTTGTGCTATCATTCTTTTACTGTTGTTGTACGCAATTATCTCTTTTTAGGAATTGCTTCTTGAAATAACTGGATTAAAATCATCAGACAATGAAGTCACCATCAAACGTCTTTTATCCCACATGAAGGGAAAGGTAAACATCGAGAAAACCTGAGAAGGGAGAAGCCACGGTCTTGCGACCGAGAGATCGGGTAAGAGAGTCTGTTACACGAGGGGAAGGTATTAGCATCCCACACGGCTGTAGTACTCTATGGTATCCACTCTTATTATCTATCTTATAGGTGTGTCTAAATCTATGCTTACTGCTTATTACTGAGGAAGAATGCATGCAAAAGAAAGGAGAAAACAATGTAGGAAAAATAAAGTTATGCATGCTTGGCCCCTACCCAATGCCTACATATCCTTTTTAAGGAATCAGAGTTACCGTATTTCGGCTCACATGTTTTTGTTTGTTTTGTGTTTTTTACGAATAATGTTAATTCCGCCTTCTGTCGCAGCTCGACCTTTGGAGACCCACACATTGGCACATAAGTAAATTAACATGTCCTTACCTGAAAATGGTTTTGAGTTACGCCCTCAAGGAAAGATGCCACATTTGATTGGTTTATATTTTGTTACCTTAAAAAAGGGTTTAAGTGTGATTAGCATGTTTTAGGATTTGCTAAAAAAGAAAGTTTTAGTTTTAAATGCATATGCAAAAGGGGAAGAAAAGAGTCTACGGGAGGCTAGCCTATTTCTAATCCTAATATTATCATACAATGGTGGTCCTAGGGTTTGGATTAAAGGGAAATCTCTACCTAATGTTAGCATGCATGGTTCACCATCTAAGGTCTAACTTGCATCCGAAAGTAACAAGCACATCCTAAGGGAATATGGTATGTACAAGGATAAAACAAGCAAGCTTGAGGGAGCACACACATAAAATGGTAAGGAAAAGAAGCAAAATGCTTTAGTCAAGGGGAGCGTATCACCCGAGACAAACAAGCGGGAATAAGATGTAAAAACAAAAATGTGATGTCCAAAACGACTGAACACCTAACCAAGAAATAGAAGATCGAGGTAGGCGACAGAAGATAGTATGAACGATCACAGAGTATCAACATCAACCAATGCGAACTCCTGAAAAAGTGTGGGGGTTTGATTGCGAAACCCTTTTCCACTTGACGACTCGATACACATGATCTTGGAAACATGTTCAGAGCTCCGAAGTTGCAAAAAATGAGCATAGGAATGACATGAACGAAAACTAGTGGGGGTTGATTGCTAACCCTTTCCACTTGCCTTCCCATTAGCACTTAGGAATGGTTGCCATAAAAGGACCTAAAACCATCATCTTGCTATACAAGCACAAATGTAAACACATGTGCGGAATACCTACTTCAAAGGTAGGATTTTAAACAAACACAAATTGCATATAGAAAGTACACAATACGGAATTGCCCTAAACGGGTCTTTAAATAAACCAGAGGGATTCTTGACATGATCAGCAATGGAGATCCCCTTCATACATCTTTACCCTACTTCTTATGGCATCGGAAAGCAATAAAGCCCCACTTCTCACGATCTCTAGAAAAATGGTAAAGAAATACGATAAAGTGCAGAGATGCGGGATAAAATGAAGTCACGGTAATACCTAATGGAGAATGTCCATTGCCTCTTCAAAACCACGCAAGCAATAAGAAAACTCTACTAAAAATCTTCCTCGAATTTCCTTGATGAAAATTACGCTCTTAGCTAATTTTGAAACTTCATGAAATCTTCACACATTCAATAAAAAAATCAACTATGACAATTATACAATTAAATTGAAATAAGTAAGGAAAATGAAGCTTCAATAGAGTGCAAAGCTGAATACATGATGTGCTGCAAGCAAAAATATGAATGGCACTAGACCCATTAAAATGAACCAAAAAGCTACCAAAAAAAACTATTGGGCCTAGGCAACCATCGGTTCGGTCCATCATCTCACTAACTATCTATATCTTTCAGCATTATCTCTTCATTTATTCTTTCAACACATATTATACTTATTTGTATTAAACTAAAATGAAATGACAAAAATGAAAATTGAATGAAATTGGCAAAATAAGGGAACACGACATCATTTTTTGGATACCAAGGGTTTCTAGAAGTTGGGATGACTCAGCCTCATGTGAAAACACAGAGAGTCTCTTCTTCTCTCTTAACACAAACGACGCTCAAATTCTTCCATCTTCTCTGATCTCCTTCGTCCACCTACCTTTTCTGTTGCCATCGAAACCATCGTCTTCATCACTTATCTGTTCCACTTTGTCTCGCGTATTCAAACTCATATCAAATCTCCACTCAATCAATTCACACCGCTGATGGTTCTTCATCAATCTTTATCTTATCTTCACCGTCGTCTCGCTCATTCTGCCCAAACAATGAGGTCTTCTCCTCCTCTCAGATCATCTATGATTCCGTCACGGTGGTCGTTTAAATGCCTTGCCGTTTCAGTTTGCTTCCTCACACATCTGGTTTGTCTCATATTTCGTCTGCCTCTGTTCGTGACTTCGACTCACGATGCAATGGCCTCACCATTTCAAACCCGATTCAACCTTCTTCGATTCAGACCAACGGACTCGTACATCAAGAGACGATAAAAAATGACGAATACAAAGCTTACATTCTCCGGCGCCTCTTCAAAGCTTTAGCGAAACCAACAAGTTCAAATACAAATCCAGTAAGTCTTCCTGTCTTGCGCTTAATCTTTATTTCTTATCACTTTGTTCATGATTTTGTTTCTACTCGCTATGTTCACGATCTTGTTGTTGTGTGCGTGAAGCCGAGAGTAGGATGAATGTTGTTCTGCAGCGACTCAGAGATGAATCGGTGATGAGGTTGTTGCATACTGCGTTCTTGTTGATGAAGCAGAGAAGATTACAGTGATTATGATCTTGTTCACTAAAGATGCAATGATGAATTTTTTGATGATAAAAAGTTGAAGATGAAGATTCGGTTCAGAGAGTTAGAAGATTTGGATAATGATGATGAAGGTGCAGAGAGAGAGAGAGCTTCAGAGAGGTTTGCGATTGTTTTTTATGGTGAGTTCTTCTATGAAAGTGTTGAATGATTCTGAACCCCTCTCATCTCCTTCTGTTATTTGTTCTCTTCTATTATGTTTTTGTTATGGGTTTATGAAAACAATTAGTTAGTTGGTTTTCTGTTATGGGTTTTCTATTATAGGTGAACTGGCAGTTAGATAGAAACTGTTAGTTAGTTTTTTTTTGTTAACTTTTCCTTTCCGATTTAAAGAATTTATATTTTTTCTGATTTCATTTTCCTCTGAAATATCTGATACAACTTATATTTCCTCTAATTTTTCTGCTACGGGATCAGTATGCAAGGCCGGCTTAGTGACTTATAGACAAAGCATGAAGTTGATGAAGAGGTGGCATAAGGTCTTGAAATGGTGAAATCGTATTATTCATCATAATCACACAATGTAACAGAATTGTAGGATTAACAGTTTTTAGTACTGGAAGTTCTTGAGCAAAGAGAAAAGGACTTATGGCCTCTAATAGGGGACATCCATCAATAGCAAGAACTTCTAGTTTTGGAAATGATAAGCCATGATTAGATTCTGGAAACATATCAATGGAATTTGGTAATTGACCGAGCTCCAATTGTCTTGCTGAACAGAATTTCGCATGTTGGTATTGACCAAATATGTATTTCAACCCATCACAAAGAGAAAGGGAATATAAACTCGAATAGAGGACATCCCTCAATATCAAGGACTTTTAGTTTTGCAAACATTGATCCATGAAATTTGTTGCTATTATCCCCATCATCTATTTCCATTTTTGATTCCTTCTTTCTGATTTTTACTTTGCTGATTTTCCGTGGCTAGATTTATGCAGGTTTTTGTGATGTTTTCAGACAGAATTTGGGCAAGGAAGGTGCGATACTGGAAGCTTGCAATATGAGACATGAAGCTTGGACTTAGCATAAATTTAGGATACTAGGATTTGGTTTCTTTTGTAAATTTCCCCTTGTAATATAATACTAGAGACTTGTCTTTGAATAATCATGTAACCTTGTATTACAATATAGCTTGTGACGTATTGGATTTGAATTTGTAAAGCACAAGGTTTGTGACCTTTGAATCATGAATATTGAATTTTGTAGAACTTGGGTTATGCCTTGAAATTTTTGTAATCGTGACAAGAGCATGTGCTTGAGATTCTTGATACCATAAGGAATCCATGGATTAATACCTTGAATCACACTACTTTATATCACTTGGAAATATTACATTCATCACACATATAAACTCTTAAATCCATATTCCATGAGAAAGTGAATACAATACATGCCATACTTGATTAATGAACCTTATCCTCCATTGAATTAACCTTTGACTGAAGCAACACATAGTTGAAAGAATAATGATGATGCCTTGAACACCAAGAATCATCAAATTCAACATCTTGCACTATAACTCACAACTTGACTTTATGACCAATGATCTCAACACAAAAAGTAATGCCTTTGAGAAAACCCTTTGATGAAGATAAATCCATAATCTCATGCCTTGAATACACGTCGATGAGGAAATGACTCGAGATGTAAATAAGAGCCAAAATCCTAGCTTGAAGTACTCTCAGTTGAAACATTGATAAAACCCTGAGCACTTGTCTTTTATAAATCTTGGTAGAAACGCACCCTGTAATTTGATGAGAAATAAGTCCACAGTGAATGACCATATCAAAACCCTACTTCCCTAATCCATACTTCATAAGAGAACCAGATGATCCGAGCTTATTTTATTCATACACCTCAAACCAGGATAAAACCCTAATTCCATTCATGAACATTGATCCCATGCTAAATTTATTGATGATGTATGATTTATTTTATGACCTAATGGAAGTTATGTACATGAGAAAAGTGCGAGATGCATAAGCCAAATAAAAGTAAAAGGGTAGGATAAATTTGGGGTATTACACTTCTTGGTGTAAATGCCTACTTACAGGCCAATCAATCAATAAAATTCTTTTTATCCAAATTGCGCCTCTTGGTTCTTACTTTTACTGTTTTGTTTGCAAAAGACGTCCAACATTTTTGATAAATTTTGCATTTAAAAACATTAAAGCTTTACAGCACATGATATAAATATCTGAAATTGCTTGAAGTTTTGGGTGACTGGGATGACGGATAGGGTTTCCATTCCATACATGGAACTTGTTGTAGTGTTTATATTGTTGCAGGTACTTTTGTCCATTTATGGCGGGAGATTAAGGAAAGTTTGGTTCGTTACCAACATGAAGGTCTTAAAGGATGAGGCTTTCTATAGACAGGTTCACAATCCCCATTATAGCTTACACTCTTGCTAAGATTTTGATTAAGAGTTTGTCCCTTTTAGAGAACTTATTTCCAGAGAAATGCATTGCAGCAGGATTCTGAATAGTCCTTCTTCCCAACACAATCTGCTTCTTTCAAGGATTCTTGGAAGAATCATTTTATTTACCGACTGGAGATTCTTGATGTATCCCCAAAAAATTTCCATCTACTTCCACAATGAGGTTGACACTCGTTTTCCCCATGAAGTTTGCATCTACCCCCTAGTGTGGTCTGCTACTGTTAAGGTTGCTGGGAGAGATTTCCGTTTACCTGTGGGAGATTCTGGTTTGTATCCCTATGAAGGATGTTGTTTATTCCCGGTGGAGTAACCTCTTTTCCCAGTAAAATCCAGTGTTGACATAAATTTTTCAAAGGATGGCTTCCCCAGTATAGCTTATACCAGAGGGATTGCTATTAAAAGCTTGTCTATTCCACAGTGGAAGATGTGGCATTCTCCCCAGTTGGAACCAAGTTTTGAGGATTTTCTTGATCAACTTTCCTCTTATCCTAGCGGAGCAAGTTTTCTTTTCCCTAGTAAGGCCTGGTGGGGATGAAAATCATACAAAATCATGTTTCCCCAGTGTGGTGTATACAAGAGAGTGTTGGTCAAAATTCTTTTTATCCCCAGTGATAGAAGATTGTTGAGATATTCCCCAGTGGAGTTTTGGAACCTCGAGTTTCTGGTTCAAAGATTCTCTCCTCTTCCCCGAGTGAAGATTTATATCCCAGCAGTAAAATCCTCAATGTGGTCTGATAATTGGTTTTATTTTGATTCGAGAATTCTCATTATCCCTAGTAGAAGTTATCTTCATAAAGAAACTCTACGCGAGAAAGCTTTCATTCCCAACAAAGTTCTCTTCATTCTGACAAGAGAAAAAGGACATGTTCCCTAGGAAGATGAGAGTTTAACCAGAGTTCAATATTTTCTCTGGACTGCAATTTATTTTTGCAGTATTCCTCCTAAGAATTTACTTCTTAAGTGATATTGATCCTTGCAAGTTGATGTTTCAGATTTGCAATCTCCCAATGAAGTTCAGATTGATTATTCTCATTAGAAGATTAGATATGCAAGGATAGTTATTTAAAAGTTCCTTGTCTTCCTGGAAGTCGATTATTGCTGTGTTTTTTCCAGTGAAACACTAAGCATGCATCATTGCATTGCATCTACCAAAACGTGTAGCATTTCCATTATATGGAGCATTACATAGTAAAATTCAAACATGCATTAAAGTATAAGCTAATTATGCTATGCACTTGACATAACTAGATATTATGTGCCTGAAGCTGAATAATCCTCATGATTTTATTTCCCAGGATTTTTCTCCAACGTGCCTAAAGCTCATGTTGTACCCCAAAATTTTCCCTTCCATTTTCTTCAAGATATTTTTCGAGGGTTCTCAAATGCTCAAGAGTTTATCAGACAAATGCTCTTCCTAAGCACTGGGTATACAACTAGGGTGCTTCATATGTCTTCAAGAATTCTCATATCAAGTTTCAAGCCTTGCATCACAAGTTTGCTCAGTCAATTGCTCATATGATTGAAAATTAACTTTATTGGGTAAAAAGTCAACTATGATCAACATACAACCAAACTTCAAGATTTTTGGTCAACATCAACATTTTGAAGTGATATTCATCAATTGATCACGGGTTGATCAGGATTCCTCAAGAAAAGCCCTAAAATCATAAAAAGTCTAAAGTTACCAAATTAAAGTTTCCCTATGAGAAGTCAACTAAACTTTGACCAAACATAACTTTCACATGCTTCATCAACTTTTCCCCAACCAAAGCTCATATTGAAGGAAATTCAATTTCGTACAACTTTTTAACTGTATGCTCAAATAAAAAAAGTGCTCCATTTAAGATATACGAGCCAATACATTACAGGTCATTTCAAAAGTCAACAAAAAGACACTTTTTGTCAAGGCAACTTACATCAAGATAAATTCTCCAAATGCAAAAAATGATCAAAAGAGAAATTGAAAAGGACATCTTGAGATTTCCAAAAAGTCCTAGATAACCTTCAAAATATGAAAAACGAGAGAGTTATGACCAGTGCAAGTTGGGAAATTTTGAGGTAATGCATGAAGTGCAAAGTGAGCAAGCTTGAAATTTTGAACTAGTGGGCTTAACTTTTGATGTTCAAACATGTTCACAATGTGTTAGAGGACCCATAAATCCATTCGCATATTTTTTTATGATTTTTATTTCTTTTATTTGAATTTTTATTCATTTAAATACAAATTAAATCAAATATAATATGAAGCAATGATACAAGGCGCACGAGCTTCTGATTTCAATCAAATGGAGGCCCAAGAATCACTCGACAACCATGCAAAGCCGTGTTAGCTTGAAAATGGAAAGAAATCTCTCCAAATGGAAGGTTGAGAACATGTTTGATTTTGTTTGATCATGGCTATGATTGCATGATTTCTTCCCATATTTGTTGATCATTCCCTTCCTCTATATAAGCACAGCAAGATCAGACCAAGAGGACACGCATACTTGCCTCTAAAAAGCTTGCCAAAATTCTCAATTTTTTTCAAACCCTCGAGTTTCAAAACATGTGTTACAAGACCTCTCATTCCAAAATTCGATCCCATTCACTTTTTGGAACATTGAAGGATAGGTTTGGATCGGTTACCATGATCCCAAGCGCGTGAAATTGCATAGCATAGCATTACCGATTTCACATTTTTTACAAAAATCATACCTTTAATTTTGTCTTGTTTTAAACTGTACTAAAGTTATTAACAAGTTCTTGAGACATATTTGAACAGGTTTGGATCAGTATTATAATCCCATGCATCCAAAACTGTGAGATACCATAATAGCTCCAATTGGTTTCATTTGATTCAAAACTCACGATACAGGAACTATTGGCCAAAACTGAGTCCATATTTGGATTCAGGGAGGTTGAATTAGGGGGGGATAGGATATTTTGGATCACTAACGTTTGCATTTGCAGATTTTGAGCCATACAGATCGCCGGAGAAGACGGTCGGAGCTAGGGCTCCGACGCTTCTTCAGTCATTATATTCATTTATATGTTATGTGTTTATTATTTCAATTATGCTAATGCATGTACAGCCGCCCCAGCGGTAGAAGCCAGCATTGTTAAGGCATTAGTACACCAGGGCATGGGTTCGATCCCTGCTCTTGGTATTTTGAAATTTTATTTTTCACAACTTCTTGTTTGCAGATCAAATGCCTGCCAGCCCAACGCGCTCACCCTACACTCCCAACT